AACACCTCCGCTCACTGAATTCCCTCGCATCGAATTAGAATACTGATTTCTGCCTCGCATCGGTGCAACTGTAAATAACAAATGTTAATGGAAAATTCTAAAATTACAAGTAAGTTTACATATATTTATTCAAGCGACTCGAATTTTACCAAAAGGTTGTTTCGTTTTAGTTGTTGGCGCGTTTATTTGTTTTTGACCTTCCCGCGAATGCTGCACTTCTTCCTGACATTTGGCGTGGGTCGTGTAGTAAAGAGGCACCTTTGAGCACACTCTCTGTGCCTCTGATAACAAGTTGAAATCGGCAGGCAGCAACTCCGTGGCTAATGCCAACAAATCCACAGTATTGTCACTTTGTACGTCTAACAATGACTTTTTTATGCTGTTGTTCTGCCTAACCGTCGTAGATCGTTGAGCAAACTGATTCAACAGAGCCTCGGGAGGCAACAACAAAGGCTCGAGCATTTCTGGCACAGATTCTTTTTCTTCCTTGTCTTCTAGACTTTGCAAGATTTCGGCCAAGTCGGCTGCTTGTCGAATCCTTGCCAATGGATGATTCTCTTTTTCCCAAGATATCAATACCGACAGCTGAGCCGGCCGAAGTGACAATGTTCTCTCGGGAGTTTTACAAGATATTAAACTGTCCAGGAAATTCACGATCAGTTCTGATAAAGATTCGTTCTTCTGTGCCTCATCTTCGTTGTCTTCACCTTTTCCTGAAACGAACGAGAGAAAACATGTTGTACGCTCCGTGTAAATTAAAAATGATAAAAAATAGCATACCTTGCGCGACGAACTCGAGAAGACTTTTCAATGCTTCCGGATTGTTTTCCAGACAACTCTTGACGTGATAAAGCCCGTAGTTGTGACTCGTCAGTGATATGAGTATCCTCAGAGCAGTTTCAAGGACGTCAACTTGATACTTGGACGTATTGGCGAGAATCTCAATCAAGGCCGCGATGATGGCTAGCAGCGGCTCTTTGCTCGGGATCGAGTGGGCCAGCTGCTTCTCAAACGATTCGGTACTCTCCTGCACCAAACTGAGCTTGTGATCGCAAAGCGTCTCGAAAACATCGACCAGCTCCCTCTGAACCCTGGCATCGCTCGTGCTCTTCAAAGCCGCGCACATCATCTCAATGACCGGGGGGTATTTCTGATCCGATTTGACTTGTGCCCTGGAAGCAGGGCTCGTCAATGTCAGCAGTGTAGCCTTCATGGGAGCATGCCTGGTCAAATCGGCGAGCAAAGCCAGCGTCGGTAGGTTGCTCTCGAGAGGGTTGGCCGTGAGGATCCCGTCCAAGAGACACCGTCCAACCAGCAGCGCGGTCGGAGCCGCGAGGTCACTCAACTGCTTGCAAACGGCAGAAAGCAAAGCCAGCAGTTCCGTGTTCCAGCTGGCGCAAAGCAGTCTAAGCGTCTCGGTGAGGCTGGTGGCCTGGGCCTGTAAATGGGCCGACCACAGCTTCCTGAAGCCCAATACTCTGACCTTGTCCCGTGAGCTGAGCTCCACGGGTGACAGTATGGGTGGCAGCAACTTGGCCAACAGCCTCAGACCCGGTATGAAGTTACACGGGTTCGAGGAGACCACTTTGAGGACCTCACCGAGCATCTGCGTCCACAAGGACTTGGCGACGTTACCCGAGCCGTCCGAGTCAACAGCCCGAGTAAACACCAGAAGAGTCTCAACGATGTCGTCGGACAAGGCGCGAGTCTCGCTCTCCGGGAGCATCGCTTCGACGAGGCAGTAGACCCCGAGCAGCGGTACGACCGCGGTCAGGTCCTTGAACTCGGTGGCCATGCACTTGACCAGTCTCTCGAGTATGGCCCTGATCAGCCTTGCGCAAGGCGCCAGAAGGGCTATCAAGGCCAGTCGTCTACGGCCGGCGAGTGCTGCTCGGTGCAGCAGCGGTTGCTCGTAGAACTGGCCAATGTTTATCATCACCGCAACCAGGGCTGTCAGACCGTCCGCGGCAAACAGCTGAGTCAAGGCGTTACGGTGCTTCAGCTCGATGTAAGGCTCCATGGGATCGATGTCGTCGTTCGCGGGAAAAACCAGGTAGTGCAAGATGCGACAGGCTGTGATAAGCTCTCCTGAAAGTAAAAATAAAAGGAATGGCACGTAAGTAAATGTACACGAAAAATCGAATCGGCCGCTCGATCAAGTATGCCAGTACTCACCAGGAAGAGTAGATGCCCTCTCGGCATATTTTCGAACGATGCTCACGAGCGAGGTCACGTCGCCGTAGTTCCAATGGGCGGGCTGAGCTGCCACGCTCAAGTGGGGAATCACGTCCCGCAGAACCGAGTGATTGGCGTGCTTCTCCAGCAGCAGGTCGGCCGCCCTGTTCTGGAATATTTCGATCTCGCTGGAGTAGCGAACGACGGTGGCTATCAACTCACCGGCGAATTCAACGAGGTCGCCGTTGGGGAGACAGCCTATCAGGATGTCTACGAAATTCTCCATTGGGACGACGCGAATGATTGCCCGAAGACCCTCGGAGTGCACCAGGAAGGAGTGAAGCTTCCTCAGTGGGGTCCAGTCCCCCGTCTGGCGCTCGATAGCTATCAGGCACTGCACTACCTGCAGCCGCCAGGCAATCGTGGAACCTAGACCAGGCTCGTCATACTGCAGGACCCTCAGTAGAGTCTTCGTGACTTCTACCTCCTTAAGGAGATACAACAGACCGTCCTTTGTTTCAGCCAGAAGGGCTAAGAATCGCCGACAAGCCCGTATCAGGCTGACCTCGGAGTCGGGGGAGCAGAGTACCAGGAGCAGCCGGCCCGCGAGCTTCCAATGATCGAAGTAGCTGATCAGATGCCTCTGGGGGTTGCGGTTTTGCTCCCTCTCGAACTCCATCTGGGCGCTGACGGGCAGCTGGCGCCTCGGCTGGGCCATCAGCGTCTGGGCGTAGGCGTACGCGTTCGTCAGCTCAGTAATCTCCAGCTCGGTGAGCTCCTGCAGCTCGGCGAGGGTCTCGTACACGTGCACTTTTCTCAGCAGAGAGCTGAGGGCGTACTTGAGTCTCGCCAGCTTGGCAGAGTCGAGCATCACGAGGGTCAACTTGTATAGTTCGTTTTCGACCCTCAGGAACTCCTCCACGATCTTTGGACTGATCAGAGCTGCATCGACGGCTCTGATGGCCGCCAGTTTAACAGGAAGCGCCACGTTTTCACGCATGCACAGCGACAGCAGTTTTCTCGGGGCGTCGACCTCCAAGAGGATCTCGGGCCCCGATGGTAGGCGACACAGGGCCTCGGCTAGTCTGACACCGACCTTGACGTGCCGGACTTTGTAGGCTGGCTGTGGCTGCGAGCACGCAAACTCGACGTTCAGCCCAGCATCGACGACGAGAGATAAGCTTTTCAGATCTTTATCGCCGAGCTCGAAGTTTCCTAGGGTTACACACAAGTTTTCGCAGTTGTGAACGAACGTCTCCTTCTCCTGGCCAGAGGCGTTACTGAAGTTCGTGACCGACTTTGACAGACTGTTAATTATGTCGATGAGCTTCTCGGCGACGCCCTCGGTCAGTTTGTCCTCGTACTTGTCGAGCTCCAACAAGTCGGGTGGGCTGATCGTGTACAGCTCGCCGAGCTGGATCGAATTATCGTAGTCAAAGTCAACGGACGGAGGATCATCGTCCGCCATGACATCCTCGTCCGACAGAATCGGCTCGAACGGCTCCACGGCGCCCGGCTCCTCGACTTGCTCCCGCTCGCCTTCCTCTTCCTCAGCGGATATAGATTCCGGACTAAGAGACACAAGGGACTCGGTTGGCGGTGTGGAGGGCCTCTTTCCAGTCTTGTGCGCCACGGGCGACGACTCCTGTTCTTTCCACTGTGGGCCCTCTGGCTTGGTAGGTTCTGGAACTGCCGGAGCCTTTGTAGGTTCCACAACTGGTGAGACATGAACTGGAGGAGAGGGTGTTGCTGTTGCTGCTTCCTGTTGTAATGCACGTTACATACGTTAAGAAGGAAAACACAATTTCACGCTGTAGTTTTCGAGAGTCTAAGAAATATTTCAAACATATTTACCATTGTATTGGTGGCATGAGCTTGGTTCTCGTAGTACCATTCTTGTTCTTGGTCCGGGACGGCGGGAGCATTGCTTGCCGGTGCCTCTTCTTCGACAACGGGAGGAGCACAAGGCGGCGGTTGAGCCGCTGATGCTGGAATTTCTTGGGGATTGCTCAGGGATTTCGTTAGACTGCCGTACACCGCCAAGGTTATCGTCGTATACCAGCCTCTCAAGACCAATCCGTCAGTGGGCAAGTGCTTTCTGTCGCATTCGAGTTGAATGTGAACGTTTTGCTTGTACTCCAGTCCACCGAGTGACTCAAACGTCGAGGCTCCAGGTTTGCTCAAGTCGTTGACAAAAAATTCAATTTCGAATTGCGATGGATTAGTCGCCCTGAAAAAAAAAAAAAAAAAAAAAAATAGACCCCATATGGTTGTGGCCTCGATATTGAAGCTGCTGGATGAAAAAATTGGTTACATACCCGAGACGAACGCCACCAGGAAAATCAGCCTGTACTCGAGCTCCCAAGGGGATGATTCTTACCTCGCTTATGTACACTGGCTTGGGAAACTGCACCAAATCTAAATTTAGCTCCTGTAAAATCGCACACTTTTAATTTCGAGGAAAGTAAAAAAAAAAAAAAAAAAACATTGGGTAGAGAACGATTACTCTTACCTCGGATATGTCGTGAGAGAACGTATCGAAAAACAGTAACTCTATATTATCCATTGCGTTTATATCAAACAGTGGGACATAAAAATTTCAGCTTTCAGAAATAAGTATCCTGGACGGCAGCATTTTTACCGAATTATACAGAAATTAAATATCTTTGCGGCTTTACAACTATCTTGAGCGTGTGTTTGGCGTTGTCGATGCTATATATATGCATGTATGTAAACACAAAAAGGTTAGGTGAGTGTACGGAAGGTAAGGTTAGTCACACGCATGCACGGCATACACGGCGCCTGCGGGTGAATGCTTTCTGGTACACGGTCTACGGTGCACTCTTTTTTTTAATGTTCCAAACGTTGATGAGTGTAAATTGATCGAGTAAGAAAATAATAATAAGTGTGCAACTTTATCGTGCAAAATGGAAATCGGCGCTGATGGTAAGCCTTGCCGGGCATGCTCGGACTTTAAATATTGGGCGAAATTACAGAAAAAGGCATTTTACAACGAGTCGGTAAGTGCACGTAGTTTCGATGACGAAATTTCGTTTCTACTTGTGTAATTTATTTTATATATTACAATGATTGTTCTTTAGAAAAATAGCGAGGATAAAAATCCAGACAAGAAAAGTGTCGAGAGTACCGCGATAGTATCCCGCAAGGACTGTCCACTGGATAGAGGAGAATTAGGTTCAAGTACGTGGTCGTTTTTACACACAATGGCAGCTTATTATCCGGACACCCCGACGGCCGAGCAAAAAACTAGTATGAGTACGTTTTTTAATTTATTCGCTAAATTCTATCCGTGTCGCATTTGCGCCGAGGATCTTCAAGCTCAACTGGAAGAGTCACCTCCGCAAACTGACTCCCAGCATCGGCTGTCTCAATGGTTGTGTGACATTCACAACGAAGTCAACGAAAAATTAGGTAAACCACTTTTTGACTGTAAATTAGTTAATCAAAGGTGGCGTGATGGTTGGGCTGATGGTTCTTGTGATCAATGATGTAATGTGCTTTAGTTGCTGTAAATTAAAAAGTGCTCTCGAGACTAGGAAGCGAACTACATAAGTAGTGCATGGATATTAGGTTGCTAAGAAAAACATCGAGTATTTTTGTAAATAAGTACATAAGTTGTTTTATTTGTCACATAATAAGAAATATGTAAATAATCACAATTGATTTCATGTACAAATATATTAATATA